ATGTCGCCGGCAACACCGACTACAGCACTGTGGGCTCTTTAAGGAGTTATCGTCGACACAACGCCAGCGTGCTGCTCAGGCACATGAGCACTGCTTCAACTGCCTGTCGCACACGCATGTGACGCAGGAGTGTGGTTCTGTCGATTTATGCCACAGGTGTGGCAGATCACATCACACGCTGCTGCACAGGGCACCACGACGCGATGTAGGTCGGCCAGCTGCCTCAAGCACGGGTAGACCCCCGCAAGGAAACCGGACGGTACGACGCCGAACCAGTGCAGCCCGGCCTGAGCCCCATCAATGGCGTCCGCACCACGTTCAACCAACCAGGCGTCGTCCAAAAGCGCCACAGCATCGCCCCGCTACAGGACTAAGCAACGTAGTCGCAACTCTCCAGCAACTACAGAGATTGCTAGGCTGAATTTTCGCCTAGGGGGGCCGGGATGGCTAAATGAGATAAGACCCCCCCTAATACCACTACACCAATACACCACACACACAGAATCCACATTCCACAGGACCACCCACACGAGAGATCATATCCACACACGCCACACTGGTCAAAAGGGTCATCGTCTTAAGCTTTTGCTCAGTTTTTCGTTTTGACCTACAATCGAAGCACACACGTCGCCGCTGCGATCCTCGCGACTTCTCCATCATCCGCACACCGTTTTATATTTATATTAAAATTAACTGTTACCGCTTAGTTCCGCAATATTGTGCAAATTGAAAAACCAAAGTGAATCCAAAGATTTTCCGAATCTGTAATCAAATTAAAAGAAAGCCCAAAACGAATTAAATCTATCTCGAATTCCCTTTACAAAGTAACTGGGTGTTTTATTCCAAGAAGTGAAAGTGGTAAGTGTTACAAAAAGACAAAGAGAAGTAACAAAAACTTGCTACTTCAAACAATTACAACAATTAAATATATTGACTTAACTAGCGATCGAATAAAATATATAATAGAAAAATTTTTAAGAAAAAAGACTACAATATTCATGCCTTATGACGCAGATTTTGTGAAATTTCAAGATATTTTTAAAACTATAATCAACAATACAAGACACAAAATATTGAGAGCAACTAAAGAGCTCGAAAATATTAGAGATTATTCGGAATTTAAAACTAAAATTCTTGAAATTCATTTAGAACGCCTTCATCAGGGCATAGAAAAGATTACTAATCGTTTTAAACATAAATATTATTATCCGAACTTTTTAAAAGAAATTAGTAAAATTATTAACGAATGCGAATTATGCAATAGGTGTAAATATGATCACATTACCCACAAATTGCCTTTTAAAATCACACTGCTTACGAAATCAGAGAAAAATTTGTAATTGATTTTTGGGAATGAGAGAAACGACATTACCTTACCTGTATTGATTTGTTTTCTAAATTTGGAATTGCTGAAGAAGTACAAACATTGAACTGGTTGGAAATAAAAAGAGCGCTAATAAAAATTTTTAATACCATGGGACCCCCAAAAATATTAAAAATCGATCAAGATCATAGAATAAATAATGTTAACATTAAGAACTGGTGTGAGCAGCTAAATATTCAAATACAAGTAACCACTGCTAAAACTGGCATTGCAGATATCGAACGTCTTCACAAAACTCTTAATAAAAAACTAAGAATAATTAATAGCTCGGATGATAAAGAATTCAAGTACATGCAAATCGAACAAACTCTTTTTACATACAACCATAATATAATACATTTTACAACCGGTGAAACCTCATATGACATTTTCTTCAATCACCTAGCTCCGAAATTTAATGCTGAACTTATAAAAGAAAATAGAATAAATAATGCGAATAAGACACGAACAGAAAACCCTATAGACACTAATTTAATCAACGCTTAAAATTCAAGAAAACGTCTGGAAAAAACACATAATTCGTTTAGAAAAGTGGAGCTAGTCAAAGTAGAAGACAATAATGAAGACTTTGTGATTAAATATAAGAATCGTAAAGTAAGGAAATATAAAAACTAATTTAAACGAAAAAAAAATTCCAAGAGAATTAAAGTACCAAAAAACATTAAATAGTTTGTTGTACAAAGCTAGTAAATAAATTGTTATTAAATTGACATTTAATTATATGATATTGTAAACAATGTTGTAAAGAACTACTCAAATCGTTAAGTACAATTTTACGTTTATTGTTTTTAAGATACAATGAAGTTATAAAGTAATAATGTTAAAATAGCAATTTTTTATTGTAAGTTTGTCGTTTAAGTCTTTTGTTTTTCTTTATTGTAATTTAATTTAAGTAACAGTTGTAGCATACAAACTAACGCAATAAGGATATTGCTGTTTCTTGTGGTGGGAGGACTAACATATGTACATATAATATATTTACTTGTTGCATTATTTTACCGCTATATGTTCTTCGCCGGGAATTTGACTAACTGTATTAAAGCAAACTTAATTCAGTCTGATGTCAACAGTCAAGCTACGAAGAGCATTTTAATAATAAATAAATATTAGTTAAATTAAACTCAAATATTTGTGTTTAATGTTACTTATAAGAAGTATATTACATTATTAAACATAAGAATTATTTAAAAAGTAGCGAACTTACACATTAATTACAAATATTGTTTGCGTAATTGCAAATTACAATTATAATTTTATCAGTTTGGAATGCATTCATAAAAAATCGCAAAATGATAATCATATCATTTACTCCAATTGAATGTAAACTTATAAAAACATATCCAAAACGTCAACATACATCCGTTATAGAAATGTATATTTCTGAGTGCCACTGTTAAAATTTCTTCTTCTGAGCTAGCTGTTAGCTTTTGACAGTTCACACGCTTATCCGTAGTTGCACCTTCTCTATAATATACGTTCTTTGCCTATATCTTCCATAAAAATATTGTCGAAAAAGTTAACCTGTCTGAACGTGGTCATATGACGGTTTTCAGCAGTTGGCAACACTAATCGGAGACTTTCCTGCAGTTAGGATTTCGTTTTTTTTCCACTGCAAGTACGATTATAGACCGTTTTCAACATGAAAACAGTACATATGTTTCTGTATAAATATTTTACTTAAAAAGGCTTATATGCATCTAACCAAATTATCTATAATATTTTGCTACCTTCCTTACTGAAAAGGTCATTTCAATAATGACCTTAAACAACTGTGTGATATGTTTTTGAATTTAATTGATTATAATTTGTTTCGATCAAGAAATCATATATATTGTTTCATAAATCACACTTCCATTATATTACAAAAATCTTTCATCAATTATAGTTAATACGAACAATTTAAACTTTCTCATATAAAGGTTGGCAACTCTGAAAGTACTCTAATAATTTTAGCACACATACATAAGCAGATATACCGAAAACTACTGGAATTTAACTAAGCATAATGGCGATTTCTTTTTGACAATTCGCCCTTCTTTTTGCGCACGTGTTTTCTTACGCACTGAACAGAAAATTTTTATAAAAAAAGGTGATTGTTAAAAATATATTAATTGAAATTTATTATTTATTGAAAAATATATAAATTTAACATTTTCTCAACCAGATGAACCCTGAGAAATTGAAAAAATTGCAAGCGCATGTGCGTATCGGTGGAAAGGGAACTCCACGCCGGAAGAAGAAGATTGTGCACTCTACCCCTGCTACTGACGACAAGAAGTTGCAGTCATCATTGAAAAAATTATCGGTTAACACAATTCCCGGTATTGAGGAAGTAAACATAATTAAGAATGATGGAACCGTCATTCATTTCAATAACCCAAAAGCACAAGCATCTCTCCCAACAAACACTTTCGCAATTACTGGACATGGGGAAAACAAGTCGATTTCAGAAATGTTGCCGGGTATTTTAACACAATTGGGCCCACAAGACATCACACAGTTGAAGAAGATTGCCACAGAATTCGCAAATAAAGGTGCTGTTGCGTCAGGTGCTGCAGCTGGTGGCTTAGGAAGCGTATCTGCAGCCGCAGCGGATGACGATGTTCCAGATTTGGTACAGAATTTCGAGGAAGTGGCAATTGGCGGAGTTTCACCTGCTCTTAAAGGCGTTGACGTTTCCAGTACAGCAGAGTCCACACAAAAAAATGAGGAGGTTCCTGTAGCCTAAGCCAATTTTTTTACGATTGAATCTAAGGGTAGCGATGCCGACTATACAAGCAACATCTAAAAACTAAAGAAACAACGCGTGGGAAAATATTAAGGGAAGACGATGCATAAATTTAGTAGTCATTACATTTCATATGCATCATTTACAAAGATTTAGACGTGCGTTTCAATTTGAAGTAATTATAAAAAGCGTAGCAATTAAMAAGGAAACATAGTACACAAAACATAACCAGACAAAATGTGAACTAATTAAATATTGAAAGAAACTTTATTTCAATCACAAAAATATGACATTTTTGTTTTCTCACAGCAATGACCGATACGCTTCTATGTAAAGGAATTCTACAAATAATCAAACATATACACTCCAGTAGAAACATTACCAATGCATGTATACGTTTAAAAAATAGTAGCGTAAACATAATATGCAAGGACCTGTATTATTTTTATAATGATCACCCTTGTCATAGAAATATAACTGCTAAATTGAGCACAGTTTTAAGTTTTGCCATTATAAATATCTTCCCTAAAATACCATATAATTTTGTCACAAAGCATCTGAAGATTCGATGAGCTTACCTTGTCAAAAGTAACCTAGAAAGTCCAAAAGCTCTTTTTTTAATTTTTTTTTTTTTTTTTATTATTATTTTTCCTACGAACTACTCATTAATGTGTAAAATGACATTAATTGTGAATTACAACTTTGATCAAACTTATACCAAAACAACTGTGTATAAAACAATTTAAAAGCCCCTAAAGGCAAATGAATAAACTAATCTAATACAAAACGTGAGTTAAAAGTTCGATCGTGTTATTCTTGCGTAATTTGATTCCGTTTCGTTTTAAGGGCAGTCTCCAAAATCACATTTAATTAAATTTACTTAAAATTTGGGGTTATAGGGAATTTAAAAATAGCGATGCAATTATAAACACGGTAAAATATATACATAATTGATTCTTCTGCATACCAAAAATTTGTCATTAAGAATTTCGGATAATGTTTATAAATAGAAATGATGTCGAAATAGTAGTAAAAAAATTACATTTTGTGGATATTACTTCATTCGCATAAATAACAAAATATTACTAATAATAATTTACTTCATACTTTATTAAAAAAGTTCGAGGCTTTCAAGCAGTAGTTTTATATTCGAATTGTTAGGAAGATTTAATGCGATGTATTTAGTTCTTTCTCTCATAGCTCTTTCCTGACAGCTATAAAATTTTTGATCCGATGTCGAATTGATTGTTTTCAACAAATGAGCAGTTTCTAAGGGGAAAAATAGACAAAAAAAAACGAATATTTTTGGTAAGTACAGTTTGTCAACTAATTGTTTGCAAAATTAAAAMATTTATAAAAATTCATTGGGATACATTTAAAATTCCGAAGTTCAAAATGACGATACATCAAAATATCGATAGATTTAAATTAGCAGCTAAATCAAAATACCGACATCAAAATGCTGACATGTGGAAAATATTTTATCGTATCCGTATATTTGCTTTGTGTACAGCAAAAGGGAATTGAATTGAATCCTATATATATGTATAAATATTTTTTTACTTCATTAATTCAAGAATTTTTAACTTAAAAAATGCCCAAAGTCCAATAATGTAAAGCACAATACAAGGACTAAATACGGTTTGTCATATCATAAACTTCCGGAATTTTGTGCCATTCTTTTTGTATTGCTTTGATAGAGCAGTTTTATTGTTTGGACTCCGTTTACGTACTCTATTTTGGGTTTAAGTCAGGACTCTGCGCAGGTGTATCAATAACTCTGCTGCAATTGTGCAACAGCCAACATCTGCACATATTTTGTGTTTTGGAGTCAACAAATCCAAATTATATCTCTCTCCTTGACGATTATATACATAATATCTGCAACTCTCTAACCTTTTTCGATAAAATGCAATCATTACCGAGAGGTAGCCAAGCTTTACTGTTGGTATGGTGTTCTCCTGTTGCAGAGATGTTTGGCTTCCTCTAAACTTTGTTGGGTCCATCTTGATAACATTATTATGGTCTCGACGGAGAAAAGTACGTCGTCCCAGCACGCAGTGGGACTGTAAACATTGTTAATAGCAAAGGCACGTCGCTTCTCTGGAGTTTATCCAGACAGCAAAGGATTTTTATGTTTTTGGCTTCGCGCGAGAAGTATTTGTGCTCTTTTAATACTTTTCGATTCTTCGCGGGAATAATAATTATGTAAGTAGTTCTAAGCTGAGTTGAAAACATTTCTGCTAATTTCTTTGCAGTTTTTCCTGTATGATAATAGAATAAACTAGAATAATAAAGTTTTCACAAATTGCTTAAAGTTCCAAGTTAAAAAGCGTGTAACAATAATATTATATTCAGAAAATCCATTGCAATGCCACACAGTTATGTATAAATGGCACAATTCCGATTTCTTTGGCGCCGCGATTTGAAGGTACCGTTGGAAAAAGGAAGTCCTCCTGATTATAAAATATTTAGGATAATAGGTACCGCAAACGCTTAGTTTACGGGATATTCGACCTTAAATTTCACAAATTCGCAAAATTGGAACATTTCAAAAAGCTATTTCACCACTTTAAACAAACTTTATTCACATTTTTCATTTCAAATTAATTAAATTGCACTATAAACTTTTAAATAAATCCACATTTTAAACTTTTAACAGGTTTTTTACCTTAAATTTTTTTTTTAATTACATTTTACACTCGCTTGAACCTCATTTGTTTACCAAAAATTACGACGAAATAGAGCGCTGCCATATGATAATAACGCAAAAAACTGAAATTCCTCTTTCTCGCAATAATTTCTCTATTCATGCATATGGATATTTTCTTTTTTAAATTTATTAAGCAAATAAGTAATATTATATACATGTATTAGTAATATTATATATACATATGTATAAGCAATATTATATTATATAATATTACGTAGTAAAGTATAAAGTATACAAGTAAAGTATGAACACTCAATTTTTGTTTCAATATGAGTGCATGATGACCAAAAAATAAACCCCTTTATAACAAAAACTCCAAATTTTTTTTTTAACGCAGGAAGGAGTACTACGCGAAAGTACTTCAGTCATCCCGGGTATTCGCTCGGCCAGGGTTATGTTTTTAAAGCGCGGCCGAAGG